GGGGGGGGGGGGGGGGGGGGGGGCTCAAGGGCAGCTTCACCTTCGAGGTAGGGACTCGCACGACGGTTCTAGCACGTTTTCCTGCCTTGAGGGCAGGTGGGGATGGAGAGGCAAACACGACTCCACATTGTGTCCAAAAACATACCAGGATTTCATTTTCTTTCCCTTCCCCTTTTTGCCTGGGGAAATCAGACGTGGAGCAGGTTTGGATCCCGGTGTGTTACCAGTTTTGACTTCTGACTCTAGCTTCTGGGACAGCTACATTGAGGATGTTAACTGGAAGATTTGACCGAAGCTCTTGGTGGTCTGAGGGATTTTTCAATCAACCATTTTGTCATTGTTGAATATATACCTCGACCATTCCCACTACCTCCTAACTGCATACATCAGGCAGCACACAGCTCCTCTGGGTAAAAATTACACATCAGAAAAAGTTATCAGTCTCCCTTTCAAGAATGGGAGTCCATTCTTAAATCTAGAAGTGTTTGCAAGCTAGATCGAAGGCTGAAAGGATAAATGCACTAATATTTTTTGTAATGAATGCACTTTTGCTTTAATTCATCTTGATACTTTTGAGCTCCTGACACCCAAACACATTAGTCTACTAGCAGTAATAAATTTGCTATTTTGTTTCTTGAAACACACATTAAGAACTTTTTACCTTAGTTGTTTCAAATGCTTGTGAAATATTTACAAAAATTAGAAGTCTTAAAGCAGTGGAGGGGATTTTGCACTTTCCAAAATCCTATCAGTTGACAGTGTAATGATTCACATAGTAAACTCTTCTTAAAAGGGCTGGGAGTACAAAACCTGGAAGTTCAGATTATGATATTGAGACCCATAAATGTCTTTACTGCAATAAAAACTCTTAGTGATTTCCAAGGAGTTTTTCTGGGGGAAAAAAAATGTTTAGGGTTTCACTGTTTCCAGTCTCTGGCCTTACAAGCTTTGTCCTCAGTGGCGTGTGGCCTGCTGCTTTTGTTGTTGCTTTAAAGCGTGAGCAAGCAAGACAGCACGTGTGCGTGAGCAGGGCAGAGGGGGAGAGAATCTTAAGCAGGTTCCATGCTCAGAGCAGAGCCTGACGTGGAGCTGGATCCCACAACTCTGGGATCACGACCTGAGCTGAAACCAAGAGACCGAACCACCCAGGCCCCCCTGGCCTGCTGCTCTTAACCTGCTTCTGCCAGGCCTTTTCAGTGCTTAAATGTGGTACTGATCCTCCACCCAGGGGCCCTTCTGCTGGTCTGTGCTACCTTTGCTACAAGGACTGTGGCTAGTGCTCAGGGTCAGTACGTTACCTCCCAGGTCTAGTTTTTACCCATACGGGCTGAGGGAGCAAGGGGCTTTATTGCCCCTGTGTCAGTCTCCCATTATCCTAAGAACCAGTTTGGAGACTGTTCTGGTTTCTTTCTCAAGGACTAGTGGGTAAGAGTCTAAATGTAAAATATGTGTGCGCAACGTAAAAATATGAATGTAAAAAGCACACACTTGGCCATCCCTTGCAGTGACCTCACGGGAGCCTATGCGGAGGACCTCTGACCTGCTGTGATACACCCACAAGGAAAGAAATCATCAATCCCGCCTCGCAGTTAACAGACTGCTCCCTGAAATTTCTGCCAGCAGGTCTTACATTGGTAGTAGTGGCAGGGGGCTTAGAAGAAAGAGTCTTGCCAGGATTATCTGCCCACAGATGACATGAATAAACGAGCACTTCCTATGTGCCAGATGCGGAGCTCAATGTTTTACATGCCATATTCTGTGAGATCATTTCATTAAAACAGACAACAGCTCTGCTTGTGAATTTGTTGGAAGGGGAGCTAGCCTGGAGGCTGGGACTTGGGACTTTTCCTGTTGGAAAATCTTTCTAGTGCCAGGAGTAAACTCCTGGGGGCCCTCACTGCTCTAGCCTGACGCTTCAGTGCTCCCAGTAGGCCCAACAGCAGGCGGACCACGTCGGAAGGTCTGCATGGGTGATATTACGGGAGAGAGGGGTGAAAGGGAGAGATGCTTTCCATTCTCGTGAGACTGACAATCCACGTAAATGGCAACCTCAGCTTTTTTCTTTTGACAGAGTGTGCAGTGGGTACGCGTGTCGGGGCGGGGGGGGGGG